ACGTTATCAAATGTTCGAAGTGTCAACGTTACACAGTTGTCGTCTCTAGTTATGCTACGGAGTCTGCATATTAATTCTTGTTTCAAGGAATTAAACACTGGAGAAATGGAGAAATTGGCAAGGAAGCTTGTGAATGTGCAACAAATTACGTTGTGGCATACAAGTGGTAATCATATTCTACCATTCATTCGATATTCAGCAGAATTACGAGAAATTAAAATTTATTATATTCGAAATGGCGCTTATTGTATCGATGATGTTCTTGATTTGGCTGGTTTAAATGAACAACGCATGAAATTGGCTGGTGCACGAAAGTTGGCGATCATCGTTACAGAAAAAACTTTTCTGCCAACCAAATGGGCGAACACAAAAACCGAACACAGTTTGATTGAGCTTAAACGAATAGCGTAAATGCAAAACGTGTGTCGATATCGATTCTACAAATGTGAAAATTGAACAAATACAAAATAAACGACATTTTGATTTCAAAAAACATATATTTAGTTTTTTAACTCTTTTACTTTTCCGCACACACCTAGTGTGAAAGGGGAAAGTATTGCAATAGGTCAAAATTTACGAAACCTCAAAAACATGTTTTCTGGACGTTTCTGGGGTCAGAGACCCCGAATCAGGCCGTTTTGAGCATGGTTGTTGTGGGTCGCTTCCACGTCGTACGTCGTACGTTGTCCGCCGTACGCAAAATTTGTCCATCGATTATCTCACCCCCCACAAAAATTTTTTAAAATCTGACTGTACAGGATGATTAGGGGTCCCAAGGAATAGAAATCATTAGATTTTGAGCGATTTTGGTTGATTGGAAAAATGTCATGCCTGGAGTGATACCTATGAAAAAGAGTCCAATTTTCGTCCAAGAAACATACTTAATGTAGACTTAAACACTAAAAAATATGTATTTGGGGGTTTTTTGGCACGAGAAAACCGAATCCGAGGTTAATTTTGAGATACAATCAATTTTTGATACAGTTTCCTTGAAAAAACCGCAAAAAAATTGCATTATTGTATGGGAGCCATGCCTGTATGCTACCCTAATGACGTAAAACTTTGCACAGACTATTTTTTACACAAAAAAATAACATTCTGAAAGTTTGAAGAGATTTCAATTAAAATTAGGGGTACCTTCCATACAAAATTTTCAACGAATATTTTGTATGGGAGTTACTCTTAATTTTGGTTGAAATTTCTCCAAAAGCTGCGAATGTTATTTTTTTGTGAAAAAAATAACCTGTACAAAGTTTCATGCCATTAAGGTAGCATACAGACATGGCTCCCATACAAAAATCCAAATTTTTTGTGACTTTAGTTATGAAAAGTGTTTCAAAAATAATTTTTATGGCAAAATTAACGTCTGACATATTTTTTATAGTGTTTTGTTAGAAAATAGAATACTTTCAAATGTCGTACAAATGGGTTCATCATGAAAGTGTGAAAAATCTTTTCTCGGGTACTTCTGCTATTAAATTAAAGAATATTTCGTTGCCAAAGTTGAAAAATATTTTTTGGTCTCGAACTTTACGCCGCTTGAAAGACTTGAAGAATCGAGCAAATATTATTTTGAACTTTCTTAATAAAATACGCAACTACCACCGTGCGGAAAAGTTCGTCTTACTCCCGTAGGACTCTTTCTTTTTTTTTTTTTTGTTGAATTGAACAATAAAAACATGATTTTTGTTAGTCAATTTATTTCTTTCTGTTGACTCTTTTTACACCGTAAATTTGGCATAAATAATCAAAGCGGGGTTGTACTTTTGATTAAAATCTCACCCATTTTTCTTTATCCTTGAAATCTTTGTCTGTGGCAAGACGTAAAATGGGTACTTTAATTGGATCCACAAATGATCTGTATGCATGTGTTGGGTTTGCAAAAATGTCTTTGATCAAGTCGTTTTCTTCTTAAATTCGTTTTCTTCTTAAAAACAAAACAGTTGGAATTCAGTGAATTTGTACGTCAAATGATTATAATAAATAGAGGAAGCAGGGTTAAGCAATTTACCTAGAAAAAATGCTATTTTCAAGTCGTTAAAATTTCATCATCAAGTATTTTATTTAACAAGAAATAAAAAATCAATTGAGGAAAACGGGTCTGTTAATTGCTTTTAGGTGTAAAATGGAACTCATTATATTCCGAACTATTTCTAAATTTCTTTCTTTACCAAATGAATATCTGTTTTCCGAAAGATATTTAATGTGCTATAACTATCAAATTCTAATTACTGAAGCTCAAATTCGTGTCACCGTTTCTGGCTGCCCATTTGGTAGCCAAGAAGACATCATCACGCGTAAAAATTATTATTTAACATTGCCAAGTTCAAAACTACGTCGCTCTCTCCAGGTGTGAATTGGATTTTGTTCAATTTCGGTGATCGACGAATGAATGGCATAATGTCATCGATGCCAGCCTCATGAAAGTAAAGATATTCGAGTTTGGTCAGGCCATTCGCTAAAACCTCCATATCTTTGACTTTCAAATAAAAAATGATAATAATTATCTCAGATTGGTCATTTGAGCTTAATTATAACTCTTCTTGAATGACAAAATGCACAATAGCTCAAGACCTTTGAGCGAGGTAAATGAAGTGCTAAGCTCTTCGTCAATTTAGTTCGAGTCGATTTAATATTTTCAAAAGACTTGTCGGGTTTCCATCTGAGGAACACCAACGAAAAGTGCTAAATTCATTGACTTCTAGTAATATCCAATTTAAGTAATAGCCAGTTGACTTTACCATTTATGCGGCTACCAACATCCGAATATTGAGTATAAATCTCTTTCAAATTCTTAAAATATTTCAATTTCAACTTCAAGTCGTATAAATCACCATCCACCTTGAGTTGAACAACTTTTGAGTTGAACAATTTCCAGTTGGGGCAACAATTTTTCAAAATACTCAATTTTTTCGTTATTTATACTTATCCCATTAAGATCAATGTGGTTGGTTGACTCGAATTCATTAATACTATATGAGATTGAATATATTTATTTCGACCGAGATCGTCATAATAATTTGAAATGCATGTCATGAACTTATTGAAACCGGATGTTTGAAACTGTTTATCTACACCATTTTCGCACATATTTGGAGCCGGGCCGGTATTCTAGAACAATCCACAAAAATCGTTCGGAATCATTTGTTTATATAAACAACTCAGCTCAGTGAAAACAATAAAAGTTATTGTTATAATTATATTAACACTCACATTACTACAATCACTATAACAACCACTTCTATTGTTTTCAGTCCGATTCAGCGCCTGGCCGTAGCTAATATTTTGAGTGTGTAACAATTTTTTTAATATTTTCAATGTTTGGCTACAAATGTAGAGCTCTATTAAAGTTATATTTTGGTACTTTTGGTGTCCATATTTGACGCCAAACGTTGAAAAGACAAAAAAATATTAGTTTCAAATGAATAGTCCGCTCAATATATTGTCGGAATAATTCCACTGTTGAAAAAGGTGTCGGAATAATTCCGAACAAAATAAGTGGAATATTGTTTATTTTTTTTTGTCTTATGAATAACGACTATTATTCTCGTTATGTGCTACAATATTATTCAAAACAATATTCATTCATAGAAATATGTTTTTCGGAATAATTCCGAACAAATTGATCGGAAAGTGGCATTAGAATACCGGCCCCGATGAATAGCTTTGTTTGAATTATTCGCCGGCCACTTTGTTCATTCGCCTGCATGTTTGACCGAATGAATGCAAGTCTTTCATGTTCAAATATTCAAAAATTTCATCGAAGCAATCGATGCTTAATTTGAATATTTTCGGCGGAGATTCATCGCTTGACAGGTCCGCCACCACATCTTCATTACGGTTCTGGTTATCTGGGTGAGATAAATTCAGCATATTTTGCGGATGACTCATTGTATAAGAATAGAACAATAAAATGATAATTACACTGTGCGTCACTCAAAATGTGACAGAAACGGGACCAGTTGGTTTTTCATAATTTGGGTATGCTGATTTCAATGGCATCACCCGTTTTTCTCTAACACGTCAGGATTTTCCACAATTTTCCTAGAGAGTTTTCCGGAAAACCAAAATTGGCTGTTTACACTCTAGTAACATTTTGAATTCATGCAATATCCCAGAGGGGTAACCTATCAGGCGTTGTAGTACGGTTCAAGTAAAGTTGAGCCACACAATTCGTTTAAAAAAAAATTGAGTCATTTGAAAAAAAAAAATTGATTTTGTTATTCCCCTCTGAAGTCCACATTTTGAAGTAAAATTGGTATCCATTCAAACGCTCTGAAAATGAGTATTTGGGGGTTTTCTGGCATGAAAAAACCGAATCTGACGCTTTTTTTGCTATAAAATTGGGTTCATATCATCGAATACTAACCCAAAAAAAAAACGCGAGGAGAACATACAATATACTATAGTATACGACTGAACAGATTGCGCGATGTGCAATCACAGCGATTTATAAAAAATGCTTATCAATTCATATCTGTTTTTTGCGCGAGGCATGAGCTCAATTCAAGATTTCAACCGATTTCAACTGTATAAGAAAAAAAATCGAAGAAATTTTTAGATAAGAGGAGTGAAATTTCGAGACTTCATTTAATTAAAAGTGTCCGTAACGGAATGGCTTTCAAGCGATGAAACATTACCACTATTATTCATAATTGCATTTCAATATAAATCGTGTACAATAAAACAAAACACATAAACACATTTTTTTTTCGACATAAACACGGTGTCAGGACAAAATGCAGAAAAAAGCACCGATTGAAGTAAGTAAAACCACAATTTGTGTGAAAAAGAACGAAAATCTAATTGTTTCCCTTCTCAACAATCGAAAATTTATTTAAATCATTCAAATGTTTGGCGCAAAAAGTATTCTTTATCGACTGGTGCTTTAGACAAAATCTGAACTAGACTTTAGACACACGTTTTGTCAAATGTTTGTTTCATTTGTGATCTGTCAAATAATTGACAAAAATGTCATTTCATTTCACTGAATGACAAATATAAACAAATCGATGAATTTATTCGCCAAAAAACATTGTGATTATCTGAAGAAAAGTGTCTTGATTCTTTATTAAAAACAATCAAGTACACAATGCTGCAATATTGTTATCTTTGCAATAAAGAAGGTAACAATTGGCCAAAAAATTTATGTGAAATCAAATCAAAACACTCCAACACCCCAGTCAGTGTGTTCATTGAAAAGTTTCTGAAGGATTTTGTGTCACAGCGTAACATAAATGACGAATCAAATTGCTTGTGTTCGGACTGCTTGTCCGAGGTTTATTCATACGATTGGATGACTTTAAAGCTGAAGGAGCAAGAAACAAAATTACGTGCTTTACTGCTCAAGTCTGAAACGGATTTTGTTGCAAATTTTCACATTAAAACAGAAGACGAAGGCAGTGTCAATGGATTAAAGAATGAGAAGAAACCAGAACTACCCAATGTTGTCGCGGACAATGCGAAGAAAAGCAAACCGATCATCATTCGAGTGGTGAAACGTGTGCCATTTTTGAAATCAAAACCACCAACATCGGGAACAGTGCATAGCATTACACCTGTGGCTACGATTACATCAGGAATCACACAATCAATTCAAAAACCCATACAAACACCCGGTCCACAAAAGAAAATAAAAATAATCAAGATTAAACCACAAGTGTGCAAATATTGCGATGCAAAATTTAAGCATTATGTATCATTGGAGGTGGGTATAATCAAAAGGAATAAAATCTTCAGACGCATGAACTAAGTTTTTTTCATATCATTCTTTCCAAAACAGACCCATATGAAACTACACACAAAATCATCAGGATTAATCACATGTCACATATGCTCCTATCAAATGAGCATTGGCGAAGAGGAGGCATTCAAAAACCATGCAAAGAAACATGATAAAGCCACACCGAAGAAATGTGTCATTTGCGACGAAGGTGGTGCTGACAATTTTGACTTGAAGTATCACGTCCAGAGGCATGTAAGTTAAAATTCAACCACAATGGAGAAATTTTTTTTTTTTTTGACGTTGATAGTGCTAAAGAAGCTTACTTATTGGACAGTACTATTTTTCTCATTGGAAAAATGTAAATGATCCAGAAATATTTGTTTTCTGTTGTCCACACGGTTCTAAAATTCCCAACAGACCAGAATGGATATGAAGCCAATTCACAAATCAAACAGTAGCCATATTTGACTCAATATTTTGGTCTTAAAAACATTTAAAATATTTTTTTTTAATAACCAAAAACTAATTTCAGCATTCTTCTGCCAACTTATTATGTGATGTATGTGGCAAGACGTTTGTATTTATATCAGCTTTGCGTAAGCACCATCAGGTTCACATCGAAGACCGAAACGAGATATGTCCATTCTGCGATAAGGCATTCAAACAAAAGCAAGCATTCAACAGACATATGAGAACTCATGTAATTTACACTTCAAATACTTTATTTTTACACCAGAAAGCAGAGCTGTTATAGAAACCAAGGAGGTGCGGCCACTAATGAGTGCCATGGCAGAGCATAATTTTTAAAGTGCAGCACCTAAAGATAAGAAAGAACAGCACATACAAGAAAAATTCCGGCATCTCTGCGGTGGCCATAACAGCTCTGCCAGAAATCCGAAACATTAATTAAAATTTGTTGTATTTTGTAAACAGACTGAAATGGAGGCGATCTATTCATGTGCATTCTGCGATAAAAAGTTCAAACGACAGGATAATTGCCGAACACACGAGAAACGCCATCGAAACGATACAAAGAAATTCAAATGTACATTTTGCTCATCGGCTTTCGAATTCAAACACGATTTCAACTTACATTTACAACGGAAACACAATGCTGAAATACCACATGAGAAAAATCGCAAATAAATTTCCATCAACATTAAAGTAGGAGTGTGTAAAATAATTATGTGTGTAGAAATGTAGACGAAATGTGTAGAAAATCTTCAATTAAATAGAAGGGAAGAGATATTAAATAGACGAAAATTGAAATTGAAGAATAGATTAGGACAAAAGTGCAGTAAATTCCTTTAAAAAAGAATAAGAATGGAAAAAGTGGAAAATTTCTTCAAAGATCTTCATTAATTTAATTACAAAAAATTGGTACTGAACAAAAATTCTGTGTTACAAATGAGTTCAAAAGTAAAATAGAGCCATTTTGTCATTTTTTGTGTATATTTCTCTTTTGCCATATCTTTTGACGATTTTTAATTTTTCATTTTAGAAAAAATTCAATTATTAAATGAATTTTCAATATAAATAAGCACAATGAATTAATTGTTTGTATCTTTTTTCGGTGATTCAATTTCCAGCGTGACGGGGCCGTCGTTTTGTATGTGTACTTGCATCATGGCCCCAAATTGTCCATTTTTAATTTTATCACTGGAATATTGTTGGCCAATTTGTTGTAATAAAAAATTGTACAAATCATTTGCTTCTGCACCGGGCATGGCATAACGAAAATCCGGTTTGTTCCCTTTCCATTGATTGTACAATGTAAATTGACTCACACAAAGCAGTTCATATTGTAAATCTTTAACGTTTTTTTGCCATCGTTTACCGGTTTCATCATCGAATAGTCGAACGCTCAACAGTTTTCGGGCCAAATAAAGTGCATCTTCTTTTGTGTCATTTTGTGAGATGCCAACTAAAACACATAGTCCCCGGCCAATGCTACTAATCAACTCGTCGTTCACTACAAGAAGGAAAACATTTGAAAAAATTCATTTTTATTCATCAAAACTGAATGAAAATAGGTTTTTAAATAATTCAAATTTACCCGTCACTTTGGCTGTGGTCACGCGTTGAATCACCGCTTTCATTTTATTTTAGCAATTTTGATGTAGAAAACGCCGAAAGAAATGTTGAAAGTGCGATGAAGAGAGTATACGGTCTGTTGTGATTATTTGACAGTTGAGACACTTTGAAGTAAATTGTCAAATCGATGACAGTACGGTGGAAACACTACATTCAAGTCCATGCCAGTGTTTACATTTTCTGTCTTGGTAATGTTTGGAAATTTCGAACCTTTGGATCGATGATTATGATTATATGTGCCGAAAAATTGAAAGAACCATTTTTGAACACCGAAAAAGTATAAATGGGGAATAATGATAATTCATGCGAACATTCTCTTTATTACTTTGAAAATCGAAGGTGAAACTGAAGAGATTGAAAATATGTTTGGATGGAGCTGATGATGTTCAGGTGTAAAGCGTGGAAAATGATGGAAAAGTCCAGAGCATCAAAAAATTCCAAAGGTAGCATTGAAAAATGTGACCGTCAACCAGAAAATTGCAAAAAAAATTCCTGTCAGCAACAAATTTGATGTGGTAATTTATTATATATATTCAAGGTTCAGCGGCATTCGGAACGCGCCACAAATCTAAGACCACAAACGAATTTTGTAAGGACAGAAAGTGTCGGCTTCTTGCTTCCAAGCTTGATAGACACTCAAATGAGACGATATTGTGAAGATTGTAAGATTTATTTTAGAAGCAAACCAATGTATGAAAAACACATGCAACCACATGAACAAACATGCGATTTATAACAATAGATGTCTGATTATTTTCCAGTTAATTTGAAAAATTGAATAAAATAATATTTACAATAAAATACAATCGCTTCAAATCAAATACAAAATAAATGTGTTTCTTATTTTGAATTAAAGCCGGCATCTTTGAATGATATACAAATAAACGAACATCTGTTTGTGTTTATTCAAAAGTATTTTCCGAATGTCAACCGAAAATGATTATTTATTGAAGTAATATGCAAAAGGTAGTAAGTTTAAAAGTTAAATTATCTCTCTGTACACTAAGCAGAGTACTCTGTTTGGAAGTGAAGAGCTTTTATGGCTTTTTCCTTTTTCAATTTTGAAATAAAACTCCCTGAAAGTCAAAGTTCGTTCATTACTGTATTAATATAGTTATCATAGATGTGAAAGCGGCGCTCTTATTGGAGACCTTTTTTCCAATGTGTCGGTTTTGCCTAACGTTATGCTCGCCTGTCGATCGCTAGGCGGATATTATCCCAAGCATATTAGGCGAGCATAGCGCTAGGCTTCGATGCCGCATCATACGCAAGCGTCGTGTGACGACAATCAACGCAACTTGATTCATAAAATGTTTGCAAAAAAACCATTGTGCACAATATACATCATTTATATTATGCGATATTAATAATTTAAAAGTAAACCTAACACAGCTAAGGTAATGTATATTGTGCACAATGGTTTTTTTGCAAACATTTTATGAATCAAGTTGCGTTGATTGTCTTCACACGACGCTTGCGTATGATGCGGCATCAAAGCCTAGCGCTATGCTCGCCTAATATGCTTGGGGTAATATCCGCCTAGCGATCGACAGGTGAGCATAACGCTAGGCAAAACCGACACATTGCTTTTTTCAATTCATTAATTTAAGTAAATTTTATACTTTAAATGTATGAATAATGTTCCTCAATGCATTAAATTCATTTAGATTCAATTGTGTAGAAGATTAAAATATGATTATTAAAAATATTTATGTATTGAAAACAAATAAAAGACACGAAAAAATATCGCATTCATCCACTTTTATTCTTTTATGTTCACATTTGTCTATACTTATTATTCTTTCGTTTAATATGTGAAATTTTAATTCAAATTGAAACAAATGCAAAGGTAAGAAAAGGAATGATACAAATTTCCATCGCATTTTTATCAACAAACGCCAAAAAAATAGGGCATACAAAGCAATTTGAAAACGAACCACCGCTAAATGCTAATAGCAAATTTAATGGCCTTGCATATCGTGTGCAAAATAGAAACTTTATCGATTGCAATCAGTTGGGGCCTTTTAGTGACACCATAAAATGTGAAAATTGTTTAACAAAAATGGGCCAGCAACTTTCCCGTTCGCAATAACGATTCCCGTACTCACTTTTACGAAAGAAAAGAAATGTAAAAAGATATATTTATGAAAACTTCAACAAATTCAGTTTGTCATTAGCGTGTCAACGTGCTGATCATTTTCAAATGAAAAATTGGCTCAAAAAACACAAATCAAATACACCAATAAATGTGTCTTATTTGAAATATCTAATAAGTAAATTGATTCAAATAAATGAACATCTGTTTGTGATCACTCGAAACACCACAGTTTACTATAGTTTTGCTCATTTACGTATTTTCAATACACATTGACTATTCTTTGTTTAATCTATTTGTTGAGTATTGAGAAATACACAAGAAAAACGAAAATACGTCTTGGTAGGTTTAGTAGTGAGTGTAAGACTGACTATTTATTAGAAAACTTTAAATACATTGGATACTTGATAACTATAGTGAATCCATAAGCTACTCAATACTATTCAATACGGTTCTATTTTGATTAATATAAAATGCATTTTACCTGTATTTTCGTTAGATAAATTTGCTTGAGTCGATTCAACAGACGTGTTTCTCACTGGTCGTAATCGAAAATTCGGTGAAATTAAAAAAAAAAAAATATTTCAAAAATTAATAACTGAAGACTACTAAGAAGTCAATTTGTTTGAAACTATTTGTTATGTTACTACCAAACGTGAATGATTGGCGCCCATCAAACTTGATAAAGAAAAAAGTTTTCATTTATCTCGTTTTTCTTGCGATCGTTGGTTGTATTTTATGGTAATTATCACATAACAAACCGGCGAAGGCGGTTCAATATTCAAATACAAATAAAATTTCAGGAGTTCAAAAAAACCATCATCGACAAAGTTCAGCGATGAAAATGTCGTGATAAAACCTAGAGAGAAACCATGGTTTTTTAAAGACGGAAAAGTGGCGGCAGTGCGAGCAAAGTATTCAAACGAGCTCGGTAGACATGATGCAAAGTTAATGCCGTGGCAAGATCCAAGTGATCGCTTTGAAAATCAGCTGATGTTCATTCCGCCAAATTATGATGAGAAAAAGGTGGAGAAAAACAAAACGATTTTATTCTATAATTTTGAAGAGGAACCATGGTGGTACATTCATGATAAATGGTTTACAAATAAAAGGTGTCCAGTTCATCGATGTCAATTCACAAAGAATCGCAAGGAAGCAAATACGGCCGATTTTATCATGTTTACCAGACAACGTGACACACAACATTTAACTAAACAACCACATCAAGTTTACGCATTTTCTAGACTCGAGAGTCCACTTACTTGGCACGAAACATTTCCAAGTAATTTTTTTTTTAATTGAATATTTTGTTAATATAAAAATTATTCAATTTGAATTTCAGACTCAATCATTTATAATTGGACAATAACATATAGGTAAAAGTTTCTTTTTTAAGTGAAATATCTTACCCAAAGGAAAATCTATTTGATCAAAACCAAAAACATATATATCGTTAAATTTCCAGGCACGACAGTACGATTCCAATTCATTACTCGAAGTGGGTGTATTTCGATCCGCGAATAAAGCAAATGAAACAAACTCGAAACTATGCCCGAAATAAAACGAAAAAAGTCGCTATGATTGTGTCGAACTGTGCAGCAAATAATGATCGACAGATATACGCAGAGACACTCCAGAAATACATCGAAGTTTGAACTACAGATCATGAGTTAATGACTATTTTCTTATGTTTCAATTGCTTTTATTGTCATTTACAATAGGTTGACATATACGGTAGATGTGGAACGAAAAATTGTTCCAAAAAGGGAGAATGGAACAAAGAGTCATCATCGTGTCTAGATCTCATATCAAAAGAATATAAATTCTATTT